TTTGATTAATAGTGACTTCACTTATTAATCGTTATAAATCTTTTGATTTATTTTATTCTTTTCTTTATATTTTTACCTCTTTTTCAAATTACTTTTGTAATTTAGATCTTTGAACACACAATATCTGTAGATATTGGCACAGATCTTAGAAACCTTTGTTAATATTTATAATTCATTCTCTTTACTTAAGTTTAATCACTTCTCTCACAACATCATATGCTTATAGTAATTCTCAGTGAAATCCACTATTCAGAATTGCTATAACAATAACTTCTTAAATATTCATCCTAAATATTAACTATCTTAGATCAATTTGTAACTCATATTACGATCTATAACTTTACTTAGAACATTAACTAACAATTACTTGAACTCAAACTGAACTTTTGATCAGATTCAAGTCTAATTCAAAATTTGAACCAAACTTGATCCAGACTTTTAATTAGGTTTAAATTTTTGAACCAGACTTTTTGTCAGGTTTGAGTTTGGTTCAAGCTCAAACTGAATCAGATTTGAACTGAACCAGACTTTTTTTCGGAATCCTACTCTCAGAAAGCAAAATTTGGTGACTAGAAAAAATGTGATTATAAAGAGATTTTTTTACTGTATTTATATGTAAATGGGAAAGCAAAATAGAGTGACTATAGAGAGATGTGACTATAAATGGACATGACTATAGAGGGGTTTGATTGTAGTACACTCAGTAAATAAAAGTCTGGAATTGGACAATAATTGATATATATTTGGTGTGACTTTAATCATCTATTGCATGATGAATAAAAGTTTAATGTAATTATATATTGGTTCGTTAGAAAGCTAAGATTTTGGGCTTTCAAATGAAGGTAAAAAATCTATATATCTTTACAAGAAATTATCTAAAAATGTAAAAATTTCAATAGAAAAATATAATAAAATTGAAATTATTTCTCTATATTAAAATTCTTAAACTTCTTAAGAAATATTTCTTATTTTTATGATAAAATAAAGATAAAAACCTATATTTTAAAATAAAATTCTTTTTTTGAATAATTTTATGATTAAAGTAACTTTATAATTATAAAAGTATTTAAAATTGATTAAAAAAGAATTTTATTTAAAATATAGGTTTTTATCTTTATTTTATCATAAAAATAATAAATATTTCTTATATGTGTATCGATTTTTTACCTTCATTTGAAAGCCCGAAAGCTTAGCTTTCTAACGAACCAATATATAATTACATTGAACTTTTATTCAACGATTAAAGTCACACCAAATGTATGTCGATCATTGCCCGATTCCAGACTTTTGTCCACCGAGTGTACATATAGTATTGGACTATACGCAGATTTGCCCATCTCCAGTTATGCATGTTAACAAGTCTATCGCTACTAATTCAAATTAAGACTTTTCCTAATTTGTAAAGAGGGTTAATTCTACATTTGGTTGGTTGAAATTATTAAACAGTATAACAATACGTAATTAGTTATTGTAAAATGAAGAATCAAACACAGCTGATAAACTTTTAAACAATTGAAAGGTTTTTTATCTATTTGTCTTTTTTGATTAATATGATTCATAAGCACTTATGCACATAAATCTTATTAATTACCAAAGAAGGTGAGACATTTTATTTGATTTCCACAACAGAAAATCAAACAAATAACAATATTCCTGCATCATTGATATCGTGTTCACAACAGAATTATTTTTTAAAGCATTGTTATCGTTATCGTTATTCTTTAACTGCACGTATCGGTATATATACACAAAAATTTACGGCGAATTTGCCAATTGAGTTTCTGTTTCATATTGATGACGATACGTAATGTATAAATGTGCAAAACAATGATGATACATAGACCATTATGGAAAATAATATACAAAGTCACATTCGAGGGATTGAATGCGTATCGTTAATAAATATGAACGAGTTCCCCCATTTTTTTGAAAGTTCAAAACAGTAAAATCAATATTACTTTCTTTTTTGCTAAAGTAAAATAACATAAAATGCTACTACAAACATTTTTCATAATCGGATATTTTGCATCATGGAGTGCATACCCAGACATGGCATACAGTGTCGACCAGCTTGATCCGACAAAACTCTCGCATGTCATGTACGCATTTGCAGTCCCAGCAGAGACCGGAGAAGTATTTCTCCCGGATCCTGAAATAGATTACGGGGATACGAGTGACGGGGTATTAAAAGGTAACTTAGGAAAACTGTGGAAGCTGAAGCAACAGAATCGACACCTAAAGACAACGTTGTCGATAGGTGGTGCTCTTAATAGCGTGAATTTCTCGAGTATTGTTAGTTTGCCAAAAAGAGCTAATTTTATTTTGACGTCTATAAATTTGATGAATGATCTAGGAATGGATGGGCTGGATCGTAAGCGTTTTTTATTTGTTTATCCACTTATCCCCTTAGTTATAAAACATGGCTTTAATTTAACTTTATTTTCGTTATATATAGTTGATTGGGAATTTCCAAAAGATAAAACAGAATCAAAATTTTATGTGACTTTGTTACGCGAGCTAAGATTTGCATTAGATCTATACGCAAAAATCAAACACGAAAAAGAAAAATATCTGTTAACAGTCGCAGTGCCAGCTGACCCAGAATTCTACAAAGTCCTTTTCCTAAAAGAAATGAACAAATACGTCGACATATTCAATTTAATGACCTATGATTTCTCTGGCGAATGGGAACAACCAGCAGATCACCAAGCGAATTTGTACGGCGATGGTTTATCGGGTGATCAAGCAGTAATGGACTACATCAAAGCCGGAGTTGATCCAGCAAAAATAACGCTTGGCGTCCCGATGTATGGGCGGTCATTTGAAAACACGGACGGTGCGGGAAAAAATTACTCGGATACCGGGGAAGGACAATGGGAACCTGGAATGTGGGACTATAAATCTCTCCCGAAAAAGGGTAGCAAAGAATTCTACGATAAGAAAGTAGTAGCTAGTTACAGCTACGACAAAAAAACACGTGAATTCATAAGCTACGATAATCCTAGAGTGGTTAAAGAAAAATGTAAATACTTGAAAAATAAAAAGTTAGGTGGAATTATGTTTTGGGAATTGGATGGTGACTTTCCCACTTCACATAGTCGATCACTATTAAGAACTTCATTTAAGGCGTTGGGTGGACGGAAAACCATCGATAAGTCTTTAAATCATTTGTGGTTCCCGACTAGTAAATACACAAATGTGAGGGGAACTATAATGTTTAATTTGAACTTGACGTCGATTCCTGTTAACGTTAATATCTCTGTTAGCATCAATTGAAAATTCTTTAAGATATTATTATTATTGTTTTTGTATATTAGTGTATATAGTTAGAATTTTAGTTTTGAATTTTTGATATTTCATATTATTTCAATTTAATTTTGGATGCACGTATTCAATTACATGCGATAGTACTCTTTGAAAAGTCAATAATTTATTGGGAGCAAATAATAATGCTTTTACGTGATATTTCCGTGTCCGAAAATTTACTCAAAAAAAATTTGGTGCATTTATATGTTTTTGTATACATGTTATACGTGTACGTATTCATTTTATTTAATCAATTTACTTTTCGGTAGACTTTTTATAATCGCGCATCTCAATAGGCATTAATGGTATTCACGGAACTGGTAGAAAGCAATCGAAAAACCTTGTATTCGTGTAAATATGATTGAAACTTTATATACTTTTGACCACAACTTCGTTTTATCTGTTATAGTCATATAATACATTCGCAAACTGAGTTTTAGTCGAGAATCATTATAAATAACGTTGCAAATAAGATGTTTTGTTTTATCCATAAAAATTTAATAGTATTAAACAACTACAGTATATCGATATGTCAAATATTCGCTAATGATTATACGTATTATCCTAAAGTACAGAGAAAAAGTCATCTGCTAAATTTTAGGCTCAAGATCTAATATCCTTACTTTCTTTTCTTCCAGATTCTTGAACTTGCTTTTTGATACAGCGTACGATGAACTGTTCGCTTTTCGCAGCAAAAAGCGTGAACCTGTCGCTATCCAACTTCCAAGATAAAATTCTTTTCCAGTTTATGATATAGATATATACACAGGAATACCAAGCACAATCTTTGATGGATTAACGCCTTTTTTTATGTGCATACGTTTCTACGACTTTCATGTAAGTTTGCACAGAGAAAATATTGATGTATTATTCATAATAGAATATAATACAGTTGGATTGTAGCAGTCAAGAGAGCTTGTGATTTTATAAGGCAGTATGTTATTCTTTTAGCATTTGCAAAAATATTTGAGCGTCTTTTTTTTCAAGTCAATTATGAGAAATATTAGAGTAGATTAAAGATAATTATTAAACAAACCAATGACTCAACAAATATTAGCATTTGCGGCAACCCTCGCAAAATTTTCACTTGCGCAAAGCGACCAGCGGTTTTCCCAGATACATTAACATCATTACCAATACGTTTGCTAAAGTTGAATTGGGGAATGTCTAAAGCCTGGTCAATCACGTGACATGCGAATATAATCTATCTGCGCAAAATTTCTCAATATGCGCATGATACATATAATTAATATCAATGCCTCATATTATTGAATTTAAGATTAAAATTGAATTTTTTATCTGCGCAACCCGTAAATTCCTTTAAAAAATTATCTGCGCAACCAGTCTCCAATCCGCGGTGCGCAGACTGCGCAGGTCAATTTTGAACACTGATCCTAACTGGTTAAAAATTCTTGTACATTTTAGAGACAAATATCATATATGATGTTTTTTATGGTGTTTTTTTTTTACATCAATATGGGATAAAAGTTGACCAGAATTTTAAAGTTGCTTTAATAATGTACAAAAATCAGCAAAGGAAAACAATTCAATTGCTCAATATTTACTTGGATTTTGCTACGAAAGGAACTGGTACAGCGATAAATAGTAACAAAGCCTTTGAGTGGTATTTGAAATCAGCAAAACGTGAAGACAATAAGGGACAATATAATCTTGGTATTTGTTATCAGCATGGTATTGGAACACAAAAAGATGAGAAGAAAGCGTCTGTCTGGTATTTGAAGTCAGCAAAGCGTGGAGACAGTAAGGGACAATATAATCTTGGTATATGTTATCAGCATGGTATCGGAACACAAAAAGGTGAGAAAAAAGCGTTTGTGTGGTATTTAAAATCAGCAGAGGGTGGAAATGCTAGGGGACAATGTGATCTTGGTCTCTGTAATCAGAATGGTATTGGAACACGAAAATATGAGAAAAAAGCGTTTGTGTGGTATTTGAAATCAGCAGAGGATGGAAATGTTCGAGGACAATGTGATCTTGGTTTCTGTTATCAGAATAGTATTGGAACACAAAAAGATGAGAAAAAAGCATTTGAATGGTATTTGAAATCAGCAGAGGGAGAAAATGCTCGAGGACAATATAATCTTGGTTTCTGTTATAATAATGGTATTGGAACACAAAAATATGATAAAAAAGCATTTGAATGGTATTTGAAATCAGCAGAGGATGGAAATGCTAGGGAACAATGTAATCTTGGTTTCTGTTATAAAAATGGTACTGGTACAAAAAGAGATAAAAAGCAAGCATTTGAGTGGTATTTGAAATCAGCAGAAAGTGAAGATGCTAGAGGATAATGCAATTTTGATTTATGTTATGATAATGGTATTGGAACAAAAAAAGTTAAGAAAAAAGGCATTTGAGTGGTATTTGAAATCAGCAGAAAGTGAAGATACTATAGGAAAATGTGAAATTGGTTTTTGTTATCAAAACGGTATTGGAACACAAAGAGATAAAAAAAAGCGTTTGAGTGGTATTCGAAATCAGCAAAGGATGAAAATTCTAGGGGACAATATAATCTTGGTTTCTGTTATGAGAACGGTATTGGAACACACAAAGATGTAAAAAAAGCATTTGAGTGGTATTTTATATCCGCAGAGAGTGGAGCTACTGTAGGACAGTGTAATCTTGATATCTGTTATCAGCATGGTATTGGAACACAAAAAAAGCGTTTGTGTGCTATTTGAAATCAGCGGAGGGTGGAGATACTACAGGACAATGTTATCTTGGTTCCTGTTTTTATAATGGTATTGGAACACAAAAAGAAGCATTTGAATGGTATTTGAAATCGGCAAATGGTGAAAATTCTAGAGGACAATGTAAGCTTGGTTTCTGTCATGAGAATGGTATTGGTACAAAAAAAGATGCAAAGCAAGCATTTGATATCTGCAGAGAATGGAGATGTTACAGGACAGTGTGATCTTGCTTTATGTTATAATAATGGTATTATAACACAAAAATATGAGGAAAAAGCATTTGAATGGTATTTGAAATCAGCAGAGGGTGGAGATACTATAGGACAATGTAATCTTGGTTTCTGTTATGATAATGGTATTGGAACACAAAAAGATGAAAAAAATCATTTGAGTGGTACTTGAAATCTGCGAAGGGTGGTAATGCTGAAGGACAATATAGTCTTGGACTTTGCTATGATAACGGTATTGGGACACAAAAGGATGAAAAAAAGCATTCGAGTATTATTTGAAATCAGCAGAAAGCGGAGATGCTAAAGGACAATTTAAGTTTGGAATTGCTTACTATTTCGAAATTGGAACAGACAGAGATATGGCGAAAGCTTTTCTTTTGTTTCGAATGTTAGCTGAGATTGATGATATGATAGCTCAATATCGTCTTGCCAGGTGCTATTTTCGAGGAGAAGGAACTGCTAGAAATTAAAACAATCTCGATATAGCATTAAAATGGTATCGAAAAGCTTATGAGAATGGTCACGATCGCGCTGCGGAACTAGTTGAATCATTTAATTTTGAAAAAATATATTCTTACTATTGATAGTTTATTTATGATAATTATTAATTTTACACCGGATTTATCTACCTTGATAAACCGGATTTGCTAAATAATCCTCGATAACCAAATTTTCTACTAATATTCCCGACCACTTCGGTTTGTCGAAGCTGCCTATGTATAAATGCTAGACAAAAAAGAATAAAACTGCAATATTATTTATAATAGGGGTTATATTGCACAATTGTAAAAAACTCTTAGACGCTTGTTCCCAATCATTAAATTGAAATTTAGCGATGCCTATTATTATTTATTCCCTTGATTAGCGACATCTTGAAATTTGATTGCCGATTCATCGGTAAATCGAGCCCTGACTGTACATTGTTGGGGGGGGGGGGGGGGGGGATTTAAATAAGTCGGTGTATTGCTTGATACTTAAGTTTTTCGGGACCCACGAATTTCACGAAGTTTACATAGTAAATTTATTAATATAGTTATAAATTTTATATAAATGATAGTGATTTATGGCTCTAGAGAGTTATAAGAGCAATAAAGATCAATTGTGTAAAAATTTTATTGTACACAGTAAAGTCCGCTTTAACGATGGAACAGAACAGTTAAGCGAAGATTGCATAAATAGAAAGTTTTCTAAAACTAGCGCATTATAATTTAACGAAGTGCTATAAGTAATTTTCTATATAACGTATAACGAAGTTTATTCTCCGGAATGGTGCACTTCGTTAAACAGGACTTCACGTATATTTTCTAATAAATTTTTTGCACAATTTGTCTTTTTATTGCTCTTATAACTCTATAGCCATAAATTACTATCTTTTTATAGTTCCAGCGGAAAGTCATAGCGGTGAGATTGTTATGTAAATTTTACTATAATACTAGCATTTTTTTATCGAAGCAAAATATATAAATAAAGTGTTACATTTCTAGCAAGTAATAGCAATTTAAAAAATATATGATGAATTTGCGAAAATCTAATAGAAGCGCAAGTCATTTCCCGATTAACTATACGTATTATTAAAATTTTACTATGAAAATTCGTGGATCTCGAAAAAACTTGAGTGCTGACATTAATTAGCGTTGGCTGATCTCATCTCACACGCTTGGCCTGTATTTATACCGATACATTTTTGTAAGTAACGTCATTCTTTTTCATTTAATGATTAATTGATTAACAATTAGCTAGTTAATATAAACTTTAATGATATATTATAGTTGATCGCTTGTTTATTAGTTTGTTCACCAAAATTTCTAGTCAAAACTAGCATCAAGGATTTAAAATACTAGCAGAATTGCGATAAACTTCGAACCTGGCGCAGAAAGGCGAAGAAAAAAATTCATTAAACAAAAACGCAAATATTTCCGCATTTAGTGAACCAAATTAAACGATTTTGGTATCATTAGAAAGGTCTAGTCAGGGCACATCTAATGATACCAAGATCATCTAATGTGGTCCACTAGATGCGAAGATATTCGCGTTTTTTAGAATGAATTTTTTACTTCATCTTTCGTCGCCAGGTTCGAAGTTTACCACAATTGTGCTAGTATTTTAAATTCTTGATGAGTAAACTACAAAAATTGAATAACTAAAGACATTGTCAAATACAAAGTGTGAAAAATAATTAAATCCATTTATTTATTTTGTTTTAGCATTCTAAATTTTGTTTATTTGCGGAAAATGGTTTTAACAGCAAACTATCTGAGAGAAAAATAGTTTTGCAGTACAATTTAAGCGTGTATTACGAATTTCAGACAAATTTGTCATTGAAGCTAATTCGAATTAATAACAATAAAGAATAATGAAACTTGTTTTTTCAATTACTTCGAAATTAATGAATGGAGAAACGCAGAGGAAGTTAGAACAAATTATCAATTTATTATGAGAGAGACTTGCTTTTGTGAAATTTCGTTTTCTAGTTTTCTATCTATGCACGAATTAGAGCAAGACCTTGTTAAATTTTTTAGGAACTCAAATTTTCAACAATTAATGTTGACATTGGCCAATACAAGCTAACGGCCATAATTTGCAATATTTAAAGCTTGAACACTAAATTCCATGTATTGATAGAAGTAAAAAAATTCGCAGAGTCTAGTTGAAATTACATTTCTCATTCTTCTACAGTCAGACCTCCCTAAGTGCACCCTCTCGGGACCATAGTGAAAAAATATAAAAAGTGCATTTAGAGAGGGTGTGCATTTATAGAGAGCAAAATACATAGAGCTCTTATAAGCTGGGACCAAGCTATACCGTGCATTTATAGAACGTGCACTTAGGGAGGTCTGACTGTAATAATATTCAGAGTATCCATTTAATGTGACTCAATATTATAGATATACTCTTGTTGTTAAAATCATCTAAATTTTTGGAACATCTAGGATGTTTTTTGATGTCATTGTCTGATTTATTGACTCATCATCGATATTTTTTTCCATAGCTCATGTATTTTCAACGATTTTGATATGAAGCTGGCAAGTGAAGTTAACTCAATATATTCTGAAGGTTTATTTTTTTTTAATTTAAGAATTTATCCATATTATTCGGACATATAATGTTCTAAATATGCATATAGCAATATAAAATATCTTTACGACCATCAAAAATATTGAAATACAAAGACCATAAACTGCCGTAAATACGTAAGCATAACCCTATTTCAATTCAAAAATAGTAAACAATGAAAACATTTAATAAACACCACTAAATTTAAATTACAAAAATATATTTAAATTGCTTTAAATGGCGATAATTTTAAATTGTGAGGAAGTGTCCAGAACGAATACCATCCCATTTTTTTTAGAACAAAAGTGGTGCTTATTCACAGCAATTTGCGGTATATTTATATAATTTATAAAGCCACAATACTGCGATTATTTTCAAACAAAATTTTTTGAAATATAAGTTCTAAATAAATTTGTGAAATATATAATCAATAAGTATGAATCATTCTATTTTTATTCTATCCGAACATTGAGTTTTAAGAAATTTATTATGGTAAAGCGCGTCCGTACTAAATAGATTTATAGCCAACTTTTGAAACTTCATGATATTGCTTCAGTACAATTACATGTTTTGCAAATATTGTCTGTTACCTAAATAAAAATTTATTAAATTCATCCAAATTACCGGAATCGGGCATATTTTAAAGCAAGCGTGTTTTTAGCTGTTGTAATATAATTTATTTGCATTATTTCAGTAAAATATTTATAAGTTGCACATATACATGTATACTACATGTACTACAAATTCTTCCATTAATTATGTAATTTTAAATTTTAGAAATCAAAGTAGGAGATTCAAAATATATTAATCATTGCAAAAAACGAAGAAGCTTACATTTAATTGCTACCAAGGAATATAGAAAGTTTGCATCCGTTTTTGTTTCATTGATAACAAAGGCGAGTGAACAAAAATAAAAAATTATTCAAATCAGTTCGACTTAAAAAATGGTTGAAAAATTTTTTGTTACACTCTTTTGCATAACAAAAATAAAAAAGCTGACTAGTTGTTTTTAGAACTTCTTAATTCCAGTTGATACAATAACCAAGATTCAATTCACTGATTTGAATGTTTTGGCTGGTTCCACTCCTATACAGTTAAAGTTCGATAAACCGAAGCCTCGGGTTATTGAAAAATAAACTTCGCTTAACGTTATAAAGTACTATTTATATTATTCTTCGTTTTATCAAGTTCTTTGTTAATAAATTGGTTTCTGAAAATTCTTCGTTTTAACGCGAGTTCGCTTTATCGAACTTTAAATGTAGAAATAACTGTTTGCGGCAAATACTATGCATATTCTTGCTGCTTTGCTGAAATTTGATAAAAAAGCAATTCCTTATTAATTACGCAAATATAACAAACGCCTAATAGTATGCTGAATTTCAGTGATTGAATTATCCTTTATCAAATTTTGAAGTTTTTCAATCTTGAAATTTTAAACTTCTTTCTTCAATTAATCATGTAAATTCTAACAGCTAGCTGGCTGGAATCCAGTTATTTATGGAATAGGCGCGATATACTGGAAGTCCATATTATGTATTATCATTTTCATAAAATGTTAGTTGAAGAAATATTTTTGTTTAAAAAGTCTTGAGATAAAGATTAATTAAAATCAAAAACATTCCTACTGTCGCGGATTGATCGTTATTAGGCGTAAATAACGTTTTTCCTGCAACGATGGGTTAGAAGTAGGGCTGTTAAAAATCTGGTTCGGTCCGATCGACTCCTTTTATTGAGGTTCGGTCCGAAAGACAGACTCAAGCACACATGATATTATTCACGTGCACCTGTAATAGTTATTGTAATACAAATTTATTTAACTAAATATTATTTACATAATGATAATGCTTATTTAGAACATTGGCATACAACCAACTCTTCAGCATATCGAGGCTCTTGTTGTTTTCAGAAGGCAGTTTCTTTCAAGATTAAGAGTGTTCTTTGCCGCAGAGAAGGCACGTTCGCAAGGAACACTTGTAGTTTGCAATGCAAAGTAATTTGCAGCCATTAAAGCTATGATTAGAAAGCAAAGGGCATTAGCTTTCTACCACAACAGTGGATTGGTATTCAGCCCTGAGGTTCAAGCACATCGAGATAATCACAAACAAGAGCAGGTTTACGTTTATTTTTTAAGTGATTTTTATTGTAGATTATATTACTAATGATTACATTATTTTGAGACTCTTTTCCAAGATTATTGTCACTTTCGACAGAACTTGAAAGAGGTCTCAGCTAAAGACTGGCAAATGGATTTGGAATTGTGAAAAATGCAGGAACTGAAGAACTTGTGGAAGATATGAGAATCGACGAGCTGAAATTAGAAATTTTGACACAAGGAAACAGGGAAAGAAGATAGGATACTTTTAACCATTTTTTTCAGAGGTTTTTGTTAAATCGTCTCGACAATGATATGATAAAATAATAAATCTTACCTAATTTATCGAATGCTTTTTGTTTCCCAGATTTTTGTTGAACTGTTTTGGTAATGGTCGTCATAAATATCTGTTGTTGTATTCATTACCGTTACGTTCGAAAACAGTCATTATGTCAATTCGTTCTTGGGAAAACAATTGGCATACGTATATACATGTATATGGTTACTCCAATCTAGTACATGTATCTGAACTATCATGTGACTATTGGGAGACGGTCCCTCCAAGCCTAAACTCAGACTCAAAAGCAACTCAGCAAAAACCAACTCAAAGACCGACTCACATAAGCTTTTAACAGCCCTAAAGTATCCTGATGTAGAAAAGCTAAAGGGTCAGAAATGAATACATGTACACGCTAGAACTTTTTGGAAATGGCGAGAGTGGTAGTTTTATACTTGCTGTCCAAACCTTAATTTATTATATAATTGCATTTGGTCGTTCCAAATCCCAAATTTATATCAATTCTTTATAAAAAGCATGAAAATTTCTTTAATTTGTTGGCCAGCAAGTATAACGTTGTTTTTATAAACTTCACTTTTTAAACAAAAAACCTACCGCTACGTGACGATCAATACGTATATTGCAAATAAAAAGTCTCATAACATCACTGATATTAAATGAGAATAGGAACTTTGAGTAAATTGAAATTAATTGTATACCAATCTGCTTTTATTCTTTGAATTTATTTCGAATAGGATAACCGATGACAGTTTGTTCTCTGTTATCGGGTTCGGTTTTTTGGGCGAATTATGGAAGTATGCCGAAATTCTAGATCGCGTGATATGTGTTTTAGTTATCGCTTTGGGTTGATTTTATTGAATAGTATTTTCCTCGATTCATGTTTTGTTTTTACAAGAATTCTCATACAAAAATGCTGGTAGTTCCTTAAGTACACCATATTATACTTCACACCTTTCTATCTAGCTATCTTATAGGCCCTACTCGAATACAAATTTTCTTTTCAGTATTTCTGAGTTCTTAGGCACGGCTATAACGCCATCATTGATATGCCTTTGCTCCATCCAATCTCAACAAAATTTAGTATTTCCTTGTAAACGTCACCAAAATACCAATCCCTAAGTGCATTTGATTACTTTTAAGAGTAAATAAATCATTTGGTTTAGACAGAAATAGAATTTCATTTGTGGTCATCGGACGCGGAAGCATACTCTGTTATTATTTCAAGATGATATGTGCCAGATGAATGGTAAAGCTAAAACTTCGGTTAATGTTACCCCCCGGGGGGGGGGGCGGAGTAAATAACGAACAATCTTTCACCGCATTAGACAGTTATAATGCTATACACATTTTCGTGATACATTGAATAAATCGAATATTTTATGTAACGGTAATCTCAACAAAAAATAACGATAATACAGTAGCGTTCATAAGTATCTGAACGCCCCTAACTTTTTATAGATCATGCGTATCATCCTAGAAATTTCTGAAAACAAAGAATAACACAATGCTGTTCATTTACGCCTTTTAAAGTTGGTATAATTTCTACATTGGGGGTGTTTTATGTTCATAAACTTTCACGCTCTAAATATAATGAAACGGTCACTTTAGGACATAAGATCTAGATGTCTAGTGATCGGATTTGAGCGAAAATACTATCATTTGACTAATTTAGTCGAGCTGAATTGAATAGTAGTGTTTGTGTTCGAATTTGATCACTGGGTGTCATGTATTACATACGTATGTCCTAAAGGGACCGTTTCATTTTTTGACGATCAATTTCGAATGAAAAATGATCATCAAAAAAATGAAACGGTCCCTTTAGGATGTAATATCTTGACACCCAGTGATCAAATTTGAACACAAATACTACCATTCAATTCATCTCAACTAAATGAATCAAATGATAGTCTTTTCACTCAAATCTGATCACTAGACATCTAGATCTTATGTTCTAAAGTGACTGTTTTATTTTTGTTAATGTCAAAAAAAATGAATTTGACATAATATCTCGACGTCTAGTGATCAGATTCAAACAAAATACTACCATTTGATTCATCTTGACTAGACAAATCAAATGGCATTATTTTTGTTCAAATTCAATCACTGGATGTCAATGATTAGATTATTAGATATTGAGATATGTGTTTTGAAATTTGTGATGTAAAATTTTAATGAATATAAAACATCTGATGTAGAAGTTCTACCGACTTTAAAAGAAGTAAATGATTAATATTTATGTTATTTTTTGTTTTCAGGATAATATGCATGATCTATAAAAAATTAGGGACGTTTGGTACTTATGATCATTACTGTATATGTCTGTATTTCTTCAACAAGATACAAAAATTCATTTACAAGAATCATAAAATTTTTATTTCACTATTTTACAAGCCAGTGAAATTGGTCTTCATAATCTCTTTTCTAGAATTTTTGATAAATATAGAATCATATGTCATAATGATAGCAATAGCGAGAGATACTGTTACATGAATTTTATGTTTATTAAAAAAGAAAAGATTTTTCTATAAATAACAGTTTTTGGAAGAACAGTAGTTTTGGATGATAATTATTACTGCCTGTGCTGATATCATATTTGATATTTGATTTTGAATAAGTGTATGTTAAGATATTTTCTTTATTTAATAATTTTAAACTTAATTAAGCTTTCTATTAATTATAGCTATTACATATTTCTTTATCAAGATTAATTATTGTTGTCAATCTTCTAAATATTGCATTTTTCTGATTCATAATTTTAACTGTCTATTAATTCAGTTAATTATTATGAGGAGAATTTTACAAATCTTATTTTACTTAAAGAACAACAATTCTGATCTTTATTAAAGCTCATAGTATTCTTGTTAATTCAAGAATTGCTAGAATTAATAAATTAGCAAAGTAATATAATAGTAAAGAAACAAAGACTGAATGATTTATAATTAATGGATCACTAAAGATTTAAAGATCTCCTGTGATAGCTTGTATACAAACTAGCTTAATATTAAATATAAAAATAGAGACAAAGAGAGAATTAAATAAAAGATAAAGATAAGTTAAATAAAAATAGAATAACTACTAAAGAAAATAATAAAACTTATTGAGAATGTCTAATGAAATAAAATAAAATTAAACTTATTGAGAATGTCAATAAAGAAAATAAAAACAAAATAACTAAAAATAAAATAACCAGGATTTAATAATATAATTTAAAAATAATAAACAAAAATACTAATATTAATAACTTAATTAGAGTGGAGGAGCATCCACTACTTGAAGTTAAGATTTAAAAATCACAAAAATAATAATATATTTACAAGTAAGATATTATAAGTAAGAACTTTGTTATTTTTATTAGATTAGAACATGAGAGTTTCTAGCAATGAGAGACTCTTCTTTTATATTTTCAATAGTTTTTTCAATTTATATAATTACTATTATTTACAAATAATATTGAATAATACTAAAGGAGAACAAAAACTAAAAAATAAATAAAAAATTATACAAGATAATAAAAAATAAAATACAAGAGAAAATTAATATAAATATTAGTAGTTAAAAATAATAAAAACCATAAGATCACAGTAAAAAGAAAAATTCTAAAAGAAATTTAAATAATATAAGCTAAATTATAAGAAAATACAATATTAAAAATAATAAAAATAAAATAAAAAATAAAATTAATATAAATATAATTGAATAATTATAATGAAATTCGAATTTAAGAATATTCTTATTGAAAATAAAGTATAAATAACAAAAAAATTAATTTGAGAAGAAAAATATAAAAGAAAATAAATAATGAGAAAAAAAATAAAAATAAATATTAAAATATTTAAAAATATAACTCATTAATAATTATTAATAAAAAAGGTAATAATATTCATAAATACAATTATATATATCAATAAAATATTAAATTTAATTGAATAATATTAATAAAATATTAAATTTAATTATATTATATTAAATAAAAGATTAAATTAATATAAATATTATTAAACAAAATTATAATATATTATAATTTATATTATTATAAAAATTATAAAATTTTTGTTGAAAATAATAATAATAGGTCTTATATATATATTTTTATATAATAATATTATTTTTCTATATAATTATAATTGAAATAAAATTAATATAATTAAAAAAATAAAAAGCATTATTTAAAAAAGTATGTAAATTTTTTGTTTAAAAGAGAAACAATAATAATAATAAAATAAATATAATAAAAAGAGAAAATTATAATAAAAATAAAAATAATAACAAAAATAAAAAAAATATCAGATGAATTATTCAAGCAAAAATTATGATAAAAAAGAGAATATTAGATTTATAATATAATTTAAATTAATTCTTTCAAATTAAAAAGTTCAACAAAATAATATTACAAGCATAATACTTGTTGAATTTGCTATCTAATTTTGTCAATTTCTAAAATTATTAATTTAATAATTTGGTTAAATATTAAAATTAAATATTTATTTATTTTGATAATTTCATATTTATTAAATATTCAGTAAATTCTTTTTGGCAATTTGATAAAAAATAGTTATAAAAATTTAAATTTTTTATTTATATTTTAATTTAAATTTAATATTTTGTAAGCTTTAATTATATTCTCAAAATATATTTTCAAATAATTTTTCAAGTTTATAATATTTTTCGAGAAATAAATAATTATTTCTGTCTTGTTAATCAATATTAATAAAAATAATTATAATCTTTTAATATAAGTTAACATATCTGATTTATAGTTTTTTTATTATTTATATATTTATTATTATCAAAATTTATTATATATAAATCTTTATTTTATTAATAATAATCTGTTTAGTAATTATATTAAAATTCTATCAAATTAATATTTTTATAAAAATTATATTAAATAATGAATAGAAATTACAATTTTTTTTTGTAAATATTATTATTTGAATTTATTGAAGCAATTTGAATATTATTAATTTTTGAGAGATTTTATATCTTTATATTTTATTTTATTAATTAAATTTATATATTAATCTTTTTGTTAAATTTATAAATATTTCTAATTAAAATATATTTTATAGTAACTTTATTTTTTTTATAAAAAAAAGTATTTTATTTATAATAAAGCTTAATTTGAATTTCATTAAAAATTTCTTCAAAAGCTGATTATATTCATTTTATAATCTATAAATATTATTATTATATTTTTTATGAATATAATATTATTTAATGCTCTATTATAATTAAACTTGTTTTTGTATTTAATATATTATATTATATTAAAAATTAATATTTTATTATCAATTTTAAATATTTAAATTTTATAAAGTTTATTATTATATTAGAATTTAATTATTTATTAAACTTATTTAATATTTTGTATTCTTTTAAAAAATCTATATATTTATATAAGAATTTTATCTTTTATTTGTTTTTCAAATTCAGTATTATTTGCTAAATAAACTTTATAAATAGTTTAATATTATAACTATATATAAAAAAAGAATAACTTATTACTATAATTATATTAAATGAAGAGTTTCTTTACTTTTAGTAAGAGAGTTATATGGATTAAAAAAGAGAAATAAACTAATAAAATTGATTAGTACAAAAATAAGTATCTAAATCTGTACCAATTTTAATAGAAATTGTTAAATAATTCTATCAAAAGATAAAAAGAGGAGTTGGGAAAGTATGTTCAAAGAGGTAATTAACTAATAGGAGTTACTAACAAAATATAAAGATATTGATATTTTTATATGTATAATTATATATTCTAGTACTTTCAATATTGAAGAAAATAAATTACTAAAAAAAATATCACTTACCATCAGGAAATTTTTATATCCGATTATAATCGATTATTATCCAATAATCGATTATCATCGATTGTTAATAATCGATT